GGATATTTTTCTTACAAAAACGCATCGATTCACTACAGGAGGCCTTTGTTCACCCCCCGGAGCCATGTGAGAGACTTTTTTTATTTTTATTTTTTTTTTATGGATGGGCGCTTTTTTATTTAACTACTTTTGGACTGATGCATGCAACACCCACTGTGTGGCATTAAACAGCTTGAAAGATCAAAGACAATTTTTTCTCCGACTGGATTCATCTGAAAGAAGAAAGTCATATACACCTAGGATGACCTGAGGGTGAGTAATTTATGGGCTGAACTAACCCTTTAAGGGAAATGTGAACCATCCTCATCCAGCCCCCTCTGAAACACACTTTGCCTCTCCAGCTCACCCAATGCCGGGACCCTCCACATGCCTAACCAATGGTTCTGATCACCCATCTCCTCCTGTGTTTCCCCAAGCCTCTCCCAGAACCATTCCGGTCCTCAGCCTAGAACCAGCGGCCGCTCCACTCTCAAGCCCGCTGGCCACTTCACTCTCAAGCCCGCCGGCCACTCCACTGTCAAGCCCTGTGATTCCAGCTCCAATCTCCTTAACCTTAAACCAAAAGAGGAGCATGAGGAGGAAGAGACCGTTTTCAACCCGGATTCAAGTTCAGTCCTGAATCCACTACAGTCCAAACAAATTCAGAGTCCGTTCCAAGCCAAGAGAGGGCTCCTGCTCCCACGTCAGGCCCAGAGAGGGCTCCTACTCCCACGTCTGGCCCAGAGAGGTCCTCAGATCCCGAGTCAAGCCCAGGGAGGGCTCCTGTTCACACGTTAGGCCCAGAGAGGGCCTCAGATCCCGGGTTTAGCCCAGTGAGGGCTTCTCTTCCCGAATGCAGCCTGGAGTGGACTTCTGAGCCCAGTCCAGAGCCAGTTCCAACCAGGGGTACCGGAGTCTTCCCCAAGAAAATTTTGGGGGGGGGCTATACGTCTCCGGCCGTAGGGGCCGGGCTGAGTTCCGAGGCCAAGGTCATGGAGGTCATTCCGCCATGGCTCCCCAAACTGCCTGCTCCGCCATGGCCCCCTGAACTACCTGCTCCGCCATGGTCCCCTGAACTGGTACCGCCTCCAGGGCGCCCACCCTTCCACCCCCTTTGTTGATTGTATGTGGCGCAAGGACGCACCTTCCGGGAGTGGTTGGTGATGTCAGACCTATGTTCCTGTTTTGTTGTGTTTTCTCCTCATGTGCTCCCCATGACCCAGTTTCTCCCTCTCGTTTGATTAGTCATTTGGTTCAGGTGTGTCTTGTCAATTGCCCTCGTTTAGTCTTGTGTGTGTGTATATATAGTGGTGTCTGTTCCTGGTTTCCTTTGTCCAGTGTTAACGTCATTTTGTACTTCCATGGTGTGTCTCCTGCCTGCCCTGTGTTCCCTGCTATTGAGTTCATTAAAGATTGTGAAGTTATCTCCTTCGTCTCTGTGCTCCGACACTGTAGACAGTGTGACAACTCAGCCTAGAACCAGCGGCCGCTCCACTCTCAAGCCCGCTGGCCACTTCACTCTCAAGCCCGCCGGCCACTCCACTGTCAAGCCCTGTGATTCCAGCTCCAATCTCCTTAACCTTAAACCAAAAGAGGAGCATGAGGAGGAAGAGACCGTTTTCAACCCGGATCCGCTCTCCGGAGTCCGCTCCAGAGCCGGCGCCAGCCCCTGAGTCCGCTCCAGAGCCGGCGCCAGCCCCTGAGTCCGCTCCAGAGCCGGCGCCAGCCCCTGAGTCCACTCATTTCATCAAGTTCAGTCCTGAATCCACTCATTTCATCAAGTTCAGTCCTGAATCCACTCATTTCATCAAGTTCAGTCCTGAATCCACTCATTTCATCAAGTTCAGTCCTGAATCCACTCATTTCATCAAGTTCAGTCCTGAATCCACTCATTTCATCAAGTTCAGTCCTGAAGGCCTCAGATCCCGGGTTTAGCCCAGTGAGGGCTTCTCTTCCCGAATGCAGCCTGGAGTGGACTTCTGAGCCCAGTCCAGAGCCAGTTCCAACCAGGGGTACCGGAGTCTTCCCCAAGAAAATTTTGGGGGGGGGCTATACGTCTCCGGCCGTAGGGGCCGGGCTGAGTTCCGAGGCCAAGGTCATGGAGGTCATTCCGCCATGGCTCCCCAAACTGCCTGCTCCGCCATGGCCCCCTGAACTACCTGCTCCGCCATGGTCCCCTGAACTGGTACCGCCTCCAGGGCGCCCACCCTTCCACCCCCTTTGTTGATTGTATGTGGCGCAAGGACGCACCTTCCGGGAGTGGTTGGTGATGTCAGACCTATGTTCCTGTTTTGTTGTGTTTTCTCCTCATGTGCTCCCCATGACCCAGTTTCTCCCTCTCGTTTGATTAGTCATTTGGTTCAGGTGTGTCTTGTCAATTGCCCTCGTTTAGTCTTGTGTGTGTGTATATATAGTGGTGTCTGTTCCTGGTTTCCTTTGTCCAGTGTTAACGTCATTTTGTACTTCCATGGTGTGTCTCCTGCCTGCCCTGTGTTCCCTGCTATTGAGTTCATTAAAGATTGTGAAGTTATCTCCTTCGTCTCTGTGCTCCTCGCTCCGACACTGTAGACAGTGTGACAATTGTAAAAAAATTTTAGGCAATGCTCCCAATAAACACACCACTGAATCTAGAGATATTTCTACCTCTAGTATCTGGTCCATTTCTTTTTTTTTTTTTTTACATTTTTTCCCAAATTCTTGAATCTTTGGGCAATCCTAAAAAAAAAATGAGTATGTTCTCCTACACAGTGCTACAGATGTTTTTTTTTGCTTTGTTTTTTACAATGATTACAACTGTTTATTAAGATTTTTCATTTTTCTCTCTTTCCTATAGTCTGGTGTTCCCCGAGAGGACATTTTATTTGTGTGCAAAATCTGGTGCTGAGGCAGATGAATGGATTAAGATACTACGATGGAAACTGGTAAGAGGAACCAATGAAAGAACAGTCACTATGAATAATCAATGTAGGTAATAGTCAAATAGTGTATTATTTCTTTGTTCCAGTGGAAATAAATTCATCTGAACCCACTACACCAGTCTAATCATAAATTTATCTCTCTGTTGTCTGTATCTCTAATGATGACTACCCTGCATTTCCAGTCACAGATAAAGAAAGGACGATGATGTTCAACTCGGAGAGAAGTACTGGAGCAAATGCAAGCTGTGTGCAGTTTTGTATTAGTAAATACAGAGGATTTATTCACTGCGTCTGATGCTCTGTGATCTTGGCATCATGGTTGTACAGCTCATCACACATAAGATGCCTTCTGGGCAATAAATCACACAAGGTTTTACATCTAAGTGAAGTGAAGTCCCAAGGCACCGTGCTGTTGTGCTTTATAAAGATATCTGGAGGCTGTGCACTACCAATGTTGGGATTATAATTGACAATAGGTATTTTTTTCCGATATTGTGTTCTGTGTTGAGCTTTCAGTTCTTCTTATTCTTCTCTAACCCAAGCTAAACAGTGTGTCTGCTCTTAAATGTGTACATCCCCCCTTATATACATGTTTGCAACTGAGGTAAACATATACTGAATTTTATTAGTTGAAACCTTTGGATGCAATATACTTTTTTTCCCCAGAATAGAGCACTACTGTGATTACATATTTCTGTAGGCCAACCCAGAAGTTAGAATCACTCTTGTTCTTTCAACAAAATCCTAACAGGATTTTTCCATTGACTTTTGAATTATTATAATAAGCTCTGTGATTAGCGTAAGTTAATAATTATTGCATGTTTTGTTCATCATGATAAGCTTCATAAATAAACACATCTTATGAATTTTAAATCTTAAATACAGTCACCATAAATAAAAAACTAAACGTAGGCTATAAACAATCATCACCACTAAGCTTCTGAGTCTGACAACTCATTCGGTCTTTAGTTGAAAAATATTTTTCCTTAAAATTAGAGTTAGAATGGTTTTCAGGGGCGGGATTATATACAACAAGACAAGGCTGTGAAAGTGGATTAGATGAGTTTACCTGTTTGGTTTAATTACTTTTAATGTCCCCAACAACCTCTGTAGACCCATTTAGCCGTTTGTTGTAGAACAAGACATGAAAAAATCCTGAGCTTGTGTTAACTACAAACACCATTTCAGGCATTTAACCAAAAACCCCATTCAAAAAAACCCCATTGACTTCAGGATGATGGAACTGAAAGTGCTAAAATGCTAACTTGTTACTGGGTTTTAGGCTACAAAAATACTGAATCCCTGCAGCACTCTATAGATCACCAAAGTAAAATGATAAATTCTCTAAGGAGCAATGCTACTTCTAATGTGATGTGTGAACTGACAATGAGCACTCTTGCTTTGTTTAGAAACATTTACACCGTACCTATTTTCCAACCAAGAATTGTTTTTTTACCATGTAAAAAATGTATAAAAAAAGTCAATAAGCAATTTATTTTTGTAAACCAAAGCTTTAGACAGATGTATTAATGAGACAAAAAGGAGCAGGTTACATTCATAAAAGACATACAGCATCAAGACCATCCAACATTATGTATGTACATGTGTGTGTATGAACTACGACATCAAGGCGTCAAGACATCAGGCTGGATGAGTGATATCTGGCTTTCTTATCCTCATCCACATGTCTGTAGGTGTTGAGATGAATAACTGCTAAGCTACTTCCACCACCTGCCTTAGTTCTTCAATCAGAGGAACTAGTTCCTTCTCAAGACTGAAGATCAGACCTAAATAAAAAAAAAACGGAATTTGATCATTATTATAATGAACATACTACTAAAGCAGCTCAGTGGCTTTCGTATTACCTGTGGAGACTCACCTGTGTTTGCATTACTACTTGCGATGAAACTTATGACTAAGGGTAATCGGTTAAACTGTACAATCTGCCAATGAAATAACAGCATATAATAAAAGGAGAAATTCTTAACAAGTAGTAAGTCAAATGTACTTTAATTTCTGTAAAGAAAGTACCTGGTAAGTGTTATAATAACAAATTATGCTCTTATTTTTGGACAAACCCAGCTTGCTGCCCTGATCAGTTGCCAACGCAAAGGTGGACAGGAACGCTGGCCGCAATGCATATTCAGGGGCATTGTCATTGGCAACTAAAAGGGAAATCAAGCAAAATCTCAGATAAAGCTTAAGCAGATATACAAACAGACCTGGAGCTCAGAGCTGATGCGGTTACCTTTGATTACAGGGACTCCATCTCTATCTGTCACCACTATTGCATGGAGTCCTTCAACACTGATGACGGAGAAAAATTATCAGTCATTACATCTCCCAATGCATAATGGAGGGGTAAAATAACTTGTGTAAAATACAAAATAAATCTGTTTACCTTGGCAGTTGTTTATACAAATAACTCCTCAGATTCTGTAATAATTAAACCCATTATAACATTTCCAAGAAAAAAAAATTTGAAGCAAATGCATTACAAATATACTCACATCTGCCATATTCATCAGATTGAATATATAGTTCGCCTGCTGCACCCTGTAGCAAAAAGAGTACAGAGCGACGAGGAAATTACACGAAATGATACGAAATTCTGACAGATGCATCTCATCGTCTTGTTTAAAAGCAAAGTCCAACTAACTACCAACATTTCTAATCTAATAAATTGTTTTAAATTGAGGAAACGTATATAATATGCAAAATTACCTTCACTTTAACCCAATGTTATAAAAAGTTCTTCGCTTGTTTATGTGCGATCATCACATGACAGAAAACACAAGCCTTTCCGTGTACGTAATATCCGTCAAACGTCACGTCCAGGGAGAGTCCGTGGCCATCTAGTGGTTGATGTTGGAGTTGCTGTTTATGTTTATAGATGAGAAGAGAGAGTTTATCTTCAGCCCTTAATATATCAAGTCATCTTAATGTTTATAATCATAATATGAGGATTATAAGCAAAGAAAAAGTTTATAAAATGACTATATGTATTTGTACGTCGTGTTATCTTAACTTTTTATTTCCTTATAATCCATTCAGTCATCTTTAATATATAACCTGTTTATTTATTTTATGATTTGCTGTATACTGTTTATTTGGCCATTTGGCTTTGAATTTAATTTCAAAATGAACAACATTAGATTCTCTGAAAATAAATCTATTAAATCTTGCACCACGGTGCTGTGGTCTTAGTAAAGACTGTTGTTTAAATAGCTCAGAATAAACAGATCATTGAGGACAGTACAGGGCTAGTAATCAGGTATCACTTGTGCTCCACATTATAGAATGTCTGATGAAAAATACTTCTTTATTGACATCGGTGACTCCATCAGTGACCTTTGACATCCATAGACCTTTCCATTGCACAAAAGATTCTTAATAGTGGAAAAATTTTCTTCAGATTATTAAAATGTTCTTCAAAAATTGTTTATTTTAAGAACTTTTTAAAGAAAGATTGCCAGAATGGTTATTCCATGGCATCGCTGCAAAATCCCCTTTTGGAACCTTTATTTTTAAGTGTGTTTTAAGTCTGAGTATCAAAATTCTATTTTTACTCTGTTATAACAATGAGCCAAATTTACTCATTAATAGGCCACAAGGTAACAAGCTCTACTTCATCTTAAACAAGCCGTTTAATCCAAACTTGACATTCTTGAAATAGCAATAATGCTGCAAGATGTGTTTTAATTATCTGCGTTACACACAATCCTGGGGTCTTTTTTAGACACTCGTCAACTAAACGTTTGAATTGCCGAATCCTGCTTATCAATTATATTATTGCATTAAAAAGGGAAATATGTTAATGACATGTACTCCACATTCCAAGAAAGCTTTTCTGTTGCACGGAATGAGAAGCTTTCATGTGAGGATTAGTACCGAAACAACGGTTTCTTCAGTCCTCACAAACCAAGCAGAAAATATAATTAGAGAACATAATCCAGGCCAATGCTTTTCCAGCCCTTCATTCCCACAATCACCCCATAACCTTCTTCATCCCCTAAGCACACACACACACACACAGTTTCATGATCTGCTTCTAGGTAGGAGAGGGGGAGTCTGGACTTCAAATTCTTTCAAGCCACATGATTTTGTTTGAACAGATGTGAATGTTAGCCTGACTGGTATATATATATGATAATGTGTGACAAAGAGATGGCAACTGGATTCCTGAACGCTTCTGCTGAGACTGTATATGGTGAAAAGAGCGCTTTCACACAAACAGAGCACAATATTGTTGCTGCATACCTCATAACCGCAGGTAAAAAGCAGATTGTGTGTGTGTGTGTGTGTACTTGGTGTATTTGATGTTACTAGTCAGCTATAAATGTACTGTCACTTTTAAATAACTAATTTAGTAATTATCAGGTTTTTGAGTTGGTATCTTCTGATTAAAGGTTTTTGTAAAAACCTGTAAATTGTAAAAGTTCAGTAAGGCTTACCTTTGTCTTACCTTTGAGGCCTAGGATTAGATTCAGCACATGTTTTTAAGCATTCCTTGAAACTGACATTTACAGATTCAGCCAAGTGTGTGAGGTTACCAGCAGGGTGTGTGTGTAAAATGGAAAACTGAAAATGGGAAATGGTTTGAATGGACGTCTGTGTGTTCACAGATGTCTTAACCTCCTGCTGTCCCTGTCTGTGTGTCTTTCTCTCTGGTGGCAGGAGTAGTCAGTCTGTCTAGTAACATTGTGGTGGTGCTGATGTTTGTGAAGTTCAGAGAGTTGCGTACTGCCACGAATGCTATCATTATCAATCTGGCTGTCACTGACATTGGCATAGCCGGTATTGGTTACCCCATGTCAGCAGCCTCAGACCTGTACGGGAGCTGGAAATTTGGTTACACAGGCTGCCAGGTGTGCACAAACCAACACATTAGCAAACTCAAGTCATTTTGATTGTATAATCAAGCAATTCTGTGAATATAATCATAGCTAAAGAGCATTTTTAGGGGGTCAGTGATGAGTAAGAGTGTCCAAAGAAATGTTATTTAAAAGATCTAGTTTAAAGCACTACTCGTTTTTTTTTTTCATTCATTCCAATAAAAGTGTAAATGTAATATTTGCTCTAAAATGTTATCTGGTGTAGTTATATTTTTGAGGAAGCATAGAGTATTATTTTAAACAAATATTATAAATGATCAAGTTTTGGGGGAGACACCAAATTAAATTTTTCAACCTGAACTAACCTTGCCTTATATTTATAATATTGCTATCAATATTTAACAAACTGTTTCACTACTTTTCCCCCCTTAAGAAATAACAGTAAAAGATACTGCCAACAGTGATAGATATTAAAAATATTTGGGAAGCAATTTCATTCAAATTATTTTATTACAATTTTGTAATTTTTGCTTATTTTATAACAATTTTGAAATGTTGGCTACTTTCTTACATGTAAACAACAGCAGAACTTGCTGCCTCTTTTATAGATCTATGCTGCCCTGAATATATTCTTCGGTATGGCCAGTATTGGACTGCTCACTGTGGTTGCCATTGACCGATACCTTACCATAAGTCGACCTGACATAGGTATGATTTTATCCATATAACTACCTGAATGAAATATGAACCGCTAAGGACTGTCATTGTCTTAGCGGAAGGTTAACGTCATTGTGTTTTATTCCTTACTCAAGGCAGGGGTCAAGTGCATTAGGAAATCTATTGATGTGTGTTTGTTACAGGACAGAAGCTGACAACAGTATCATACACACTTCTAATTGTGGCTGCTTGGCTGAATGCTGTGTTTTGGTCATCGATGCCCATCGTTGGTTGGGCAGGATATGCTCCTGACCCCACAGGAGCC